GACGAGGAATATAGCAGGCGAAGAATGAAATGGAAATAGCATATCCCTGTAAAACAGGATCCTGTTCTTGGGTGTGGGTAACCCCAAGTGCATCTAAATATCGTGAAGCACAGCTTTTTGTACTGCCACAGTTAAAGAAATCAGAAGAGAGACCTCTTCCTCTTCCTCCTCCTGAGCCACATGCTCTAGAATTAATCTTAAAGAATGTATTGGCAAACTAGAGCATCCTCAATTCATGTGCTAAGGTGTCTATGCAAACAATCCTGATTTACTGTTGGGCGACATACTGACCTTAGATTCACTGAAAAAAAAAATCTACATCCTTACAAAGGTAAGGAGAGCTGGCAAAAATGGAGAGGCCAACCATAGGAAAAACTTGTAAGGCCAAACTCTGAAACTGCTCAACTCTTTAAATATGAGGACTGCATGCTCTGAAAAAGCAAGCAAGCTCTGGCCTTCAACAGCAGTTAGGAGGAATGATCTTTAGACCAAATCAAGTTCACCTCTCTTTCTTGTTTGACCTGCAAATAATTCCCGAATTTCCAGAAATACAGGCACAATAAGTGACTTGAGTTGAAAGGACTTTAACTCCCATCCTCAATTACTGGGGTTCTGAATCAGCAGAGCACTATCAAACTCATCTACACTCATATACAGAAAGATATAGTTAGTCCCCCAGCACTGCTGGCTGCTTGTTCGGCAGAATGTGGAAGCTTCTTGGAAATCCTTAGAAATGAATGCATTAGTCATTCTTGCCCTCTATAAAAAAAAATATCACCAAGCATCATGATGCAAATGACCCTGGTAAAGTTGTCTACAGATGACTCTTGAGCTACAGAAGATCCCTCCACTGCTAGACTATCATCCTTATTGTTATAAGACTTTGCATGAACTGTTTCCAATGGCAAATAAAGACTCCAGACAAGTTGTTCGGCCATCATATAGCTTAAGTACCAAGAGAAATGAATAATTACCACCATCCTTCAGCTTCAAAGATTAAGAAGTTCTACTGCAGGTCATAAAAGCAGAACAACCTGGTGACTGGGGAAAACTTGTCACTGGCCTTAGACATGACTATGTTGAAGACTAAATAGGGAGAAATACTGGTTGTTGGTTCTCTACTGGTCCTTGCTAGCCAGGTAGCTTAAAGATTTGGCTGAGACAGGTTGGAGAAAACGAAAATCAAAGATAAAGACAAAAAGAGGCATACTGGCCATTAGGTAGCTATGAATCCACACTTGTAGTGGGGAAGTGTTGGGTTGGCAGTGAATTGTACTCCTTGTGGTTCATCAGAACCAAATCCAGAAACAATTGTCACTTTGTTCAGCTAAATTATAGAAACCATGTTGATGTTTACAATTTAACATTGCCTTTAGCCAGAAATTCCCTCGAAGTCTGAGGAATTAATGCAAGCTGATGCACACCTTACTTTTTCTTAATTTCGCTACACATTCACTACTTTATATGTTCTCCCTTCCCTGCCAGGCTGACCTGTTTGTGACCCAATGAAGCCCACTTTGTGGGTGAAGCATCACTGATAAAGGTTCATATAACTGCATTTGTCTCTCTCTTTACCCTTTACACTTTCCAAGTGTCTCAACCATTGCCACTTTGGTTTTAGGCAAAAAAAAAAAAAAGTACAAATGGTGCAATTATAAAAATGCTTAAACTGCTTTATGCAGCTCTTGAAAATAATGAATATCCTTTGGGCCTCTTCATAGACCTGTGGAAAGCTTTTGATACAGTGGACCACAACATCCAGTACCTTAAACTAGAACATTATGAGGTCAATGATCATAGAATTCCTAGGTTTATCTTAACAACAGACACCAGTATGTCTATCAATGGGGTAACCTCTTCATCCCAGCCTGTTGACATAGGAATGCTGCACTGCAGTGTTCCTGGCCCTTTGCTCTTCCTCGTATACATCAATGATCTTCCCAGTGCATCTCCTCTTCTTGAACCTGTTCTGTTTGGAGATGGCAACTTTTATCATCTCCCACACAAATTTGATTTTTCTCAACGAAACTGTTAATGATGAGATCCTAAAAAATATCTACATGAATGACAGCCAATAAACTCGCCTTTAATATTCACAAAACCTACAAAAGGATGCTTGGGAACAGCTTCAAATATCCAACTAGATATAATGATCAACAGTTCTCCAACTAAGATAAACCATGGGCAAATTCTTGGTCTACACCTTGACTGCAACATGAAATTTAATACTCCATCCAAAACAATAGGCATCCTTTTCAAGATCCATTACTGTGTACCTCAAACAACACTGCTTACATTATAGTACTACTCTCTAATTTATCTTCACATCACCTATGGTATTTGTGCCTAGAGATCTACAACATCAAATCATCTAAAACCAGTAATAATTCAGCAAAAAGCCGCTGTGCAAACGATTACCCATTCCAGTGCCAGACAATGCACCCCCCCACTCTTCAATAGCTAGAACTTACTTAATATACACAATATGCTCTCATACTACTGTGCCTACTATGTATTATACATGACAATCATTTCATATATATACCCTTCTCTTCTTTTCCTTGATAACTGCAACAGAGTACATGGGCATAACACAAGACACAAAAACATCTTTGACATCCCCTGAGTCCAACTTAACCTGTGTAGAGTAGGCAATTAACTGCTTTGTATAGTATAATTGATTGTATCTCTCATGATCTCTGAAGTTCCAGAAGTAATGCTCATAATTGTTACTAATAATAAGAAAGTTTCATTTCTTTTATTCCTTGAAATATAGAAACTTCCAATTTTAACTCAGGAGCAAGGCACTTAAACTTTGTTAGGCACAGGGATGGAACACTACCAAATTGTCTGCCAATACTGATGCTAAATTTCAGATCAATATCAATATGATCAAATTAGCTGATACCTACTGATACTGGCACTGATACAATACCATCAAAATTGGCCAAGACCCACTAATAGTGATGCCATCAAAATTAGCTGGCACTACCAATCTCAATACTTTAGCATACCCCTAGTTAGATATAAAGATTGTCTCATTTAACCACTGAAACACCTTACTTTTTTACAAATCTCTCTCTCTCTGACCCATAGACAACCCCTCTACTGCCTTCCAAACCACGCAACCAAAAAACTGGTTTGCAATAAGGTTCCCAAAGCAGACGAGAGAACAAATAGGAAGGTAGTAGGGATGTAGAGGACAATAAAAGATAAAGAACTAGCAAGGAGAATATTGTAAAGTATTATGAATAAGTAGATCTTGCAGACCAACACTTAAAACATTGGTTCACTCATCGAACTGTTTTCATTTCATTAGGCAGTATCACTGTCATGCTAATGAAGACATTGACTTATCCTTCACATACAGCAAATGAAATTTTTATCTTTTTTTTCCACATTATATAATACATAGCTTGTATAGTTTTCCATTCAATCTACCGAGTTTTCAGTAATACAGTAGATCATTATATTACACGGTAGTTACGTTCCTGAAAACGCCGTGTTAGGTAAAACTATGTTAGATAAACTGAAGAACTTATGGGAAAAATAGGGTTACATTCCTGGGAGCCCCCAAAAAGCCAACAACTTTTATTTAGACTAACAGATCTTATAAAAATAAAAGTGAATATGTAATTGTAGTTCATTGTCGTGATATATTAAGTTTTTACTGCTTAAGACTACAAATGTAACAGAAATAATAGTATTTCTTACCTTAAATTGTGGTTGCTGGTGTATGTCAGTGACTGTGAAGACAGCAGAGACGCATGGTTTGGCCCTACTGGGCTGAGGTAGATGGCTGTTGGTTGTTGGCAGAAGTGGATGATAGGGGTTCTGGTACTAATGTCGATGGTTGTATTGGAGTGTGCATAAATTCTGTAATGGATCTCTCAGCTCTTTTACCCTGCAGTACATTATACAGCTGACAGTAAGGCATCATCAGCTGGTCTAGACCACGTTTCAAAGCACTACTTCTAGATTTGTCAGGGTCTTCAGTGAAAAAGTCTGCTAGTTTAGCAGCAACATGGAACTGCTCACATAAGTGCAATGTTAACTGTTTTTCTTCAGAGTCTTCTTCATCTACTGTTATGTGGTTCCCTCATATCTGTGCATCAAGCTCTGAAACATTTCCTCTGGACTCCTGTCTTCATCATCCTCTTCTAAGGGCTCATACACATCTTCGTCATTCATATCTTCAAAACCATCACCTGGTAATCTTCTTGCCAGCTGAACAATTTCCTGAACCTGACTCTCAAGCAAGGGAAAACCAGTGAAAGAACTAACTTCTGAAGGCCATAACTTTTCCCAGCTTGTATTTAATGTTGATTGGGGCACTTCATTCCATGCATTTCTAGCAGAGCTGATGGCATCTGCTAGGTTGGAGTCCATTGATGCAGCTAGTTTTTTCATAACTTTTTTCTGTGTAGTTACAATATTTCCTGTCATCCATGCTGACTAGTTTGACCTCCAAATTACTGGTAGGGTGTTTTTATCTACACCTTTTAAAGCACAAGGATTCTAAGAGCAAAGCTCCAAATTTTTCCCCTTCCACAAACCATGTTAAGTTAATTTGACGAAGTGTTGTACAAAATTGTGCTGCAATTTTTCAATAGTGCAATAACCAAAACATGCCAAATAAAACCGTGTAATATAACAGTCTTACTATATTTCAGAATTTTGCTCGGTAACTAATGGCATCACAGTAATATAGAAGGAATGCTTTAGAGAAAGTCAACATATTGTTTTCAGGGCTATCAAGACTTACTGTGCTTACATTTTTAAGAATTTTTTATTACTAATTTAAGTAAACAGGAACTACAGACCAGAAAGATAACTTTCATAGGTGTTTATGCCTTTTCTTCCAACACGTTAAATTTAAGAAAAAAAAAATTAAGCTAACCTAGCAAACTCATCTGTTTGACTTAATAGAGAGGTTATGCAAGGTCATTAATATTGTATCTTCTAAGTGAAACTACCATAAAATGCTTTTGTTAACTTACCTTTCACCAAAACATTTCTTCCAAAAGTCTGCAGCATCCCCTTTTGTAATCCGGAATTGGTCCCCTGCAAAGGAACCCTGAGGAAACGTGGCTTTGAGCTCTGAGAGCATATGTGAAAACACGAGTGAGAGTTTAGTGAGGTTTCGGCGGTAGTGAGAGCTTTCATCGAACATTAACTCTTTTCCTTCTTTAAACAGCCTCAAAGCTTGTTTACACTTACGCATCATGTTCTCCACAAACACCTAATGGAAAAAAGAAAAAAAAATTGTTAATGTTAAATACCACAATGACTAGACTAACACAATTAAAGTAGAGTAATGTAAAGAGCAATGATTTATTTCTACACCATAGGATGGTTAGCATAGGCACCACTGTGACCACAAATGCAAGTTTTTACAGACGAATCTCCAGCTAGCGTGGCCGTGATGAACTCTAGCTCAAGTCCCCTCAAAGCCGTCAACATGACTCACAAAAGTGTAATGACACGATTGCAAACAAACCATACCAAACCATACCAAACCTGTATCCATGGTTGCTTAGCAACCATGGATACAGTAGGAAAATTTCCCAAAGTGAGAACTTGGCCTCTGCTTATCAACTTCCTAGCAACTCCTCATTACCAATTTAAAAAAAAATCTCATTTAAAAAATAAACCCTCTATACATATGTCAGAATACAAATAAAATAATGAATCTGATAAGAAAAAAATTCTATCTAACCTAATTTACTCACTCTACCTTTCATCTTTTTTTTTTCCTTTCTTTTCACTTCTCAGTCTAATGTGTTTAACCTTACTCTTTCCACCTTCATGTCCTATACAGGGATGCCATATTTACAATTACAACACTGTCATTGCCTTATTAATCTTAAGTTAGTCTTAAGTTTGCCCGAAATGCTCTGCATATAAAGGGGCTTTTGGCACATTCACTCAATTGTTACACTCCTATGTACAAACATGTATCATGCTAAAATAAAATTATTATTATTATAATTATTATGCACATCCTGTGGCTTGTGGCTCAAATGTAGCCACTGAATACCAACTGAGGTTCTCAAGATCTTAGATAAGAAAATCAAACTACCAGTGACCTGAAACACCTCGTATCTTCTACTGGCTGTACTCTGTTTATAGTGTAAACTGCATGGCTTATTTTGCAGTCATTAATAATTATTAATAACCAACTTAATTTGTATGATCAACCAAGAAGCCAACCACTGCTGGTGTGTCCTGTTAACTCCAATATTGTGTTTTCTGTAAAATGAGCTCAAACTATGTGACTTTTTTCTTTTTTTTTTTTTGAAAAGCCCAGAGCCAGAGAGCCAAACCACAAGGTTTCAAAACCTTTGCAATAGACAAAATCAAGCAAGAACAGCACTGCACATCCCAGATTACAAATACATATCAATATCTCCATGAAACTTGATCAAAAAAAATATATGCATTTTTACCAATGCAAGCTGAGGAGTAGTAATAAAAACACCAAATAAAACCGAGTGCGAAGATATAAAAAAAAAAATTGTTGAGAGAGGCCTCCTGCCAAGAGATTTACCAAGGCTGCCTTTCTTTCTACTGCAATATTTAATTTATTCCACACTTTGCAAGTACAGTACAGTAATTACAACACAATAAAAGCAATTCTAAGTTCAATTCTGAAACAGGCTTTGGAGGTGTGGATGGGACAATATAAAATAAAACTGTTCAAGGCATACATTCATCCAAAACTGATATATGCAGCAGCTGTATAAACATGTATAGATAAAATAGAACAAATTTCAAGATGAGTTACAAAATGGGTACTACAACTAAAGGATATGAATAATAAATAAAAAGAATGAAGGGATTAGAATGGCTGACAGGAAAAGAAGAGATATGATGATAATAATAATGTTTATTTCTGTAATCTGCACAAAAAAAAAAATAGTTAAATGAACTGGTACAAAACTAGGCATAAAAGAAAGTAGCTAATTATGCAACACATTGCACTCAATTAATCAAAAGGGTTACATGAAACTTAAAAACTAGACACAGCCTTTAAGTAGGACTTCTTGTGCAGCTAACTACAATCATAAGTACAATAAAAAAGGTAGCTCATCACAAAAGGTTAATTACAAAAAATTATGTACATATTATTTAAAATGTTTTGTGGAGTGATTGAATAGAGATGGTGAACGTACAGCAAGTTGCTTATATTACAATACAAATAAAATGGGACTATATGTTACCAATTTTGTATGGGAGCTGAAGGAAGGTTAGAATAAGGACAGAATTTCAATGAAGGCTGTTTTTATGACAAGCATATTGCTGTTTGGGTTACTTTTAAGAGATTAGGTGATTTTTAACAATAGCTCTGAATCAAGTGGCAGATATGAGACCTTTCAATGGTTCAGGCAGGGAGTTCCAGATCTCAAAACCTTTCATATGTATCAAGTTTCTACACAGGTACAGTTGGATGCAGGGACTGTAAAAGAGGTATGCATGTCTTGTGTTATGCATGTCGCTATCAAGGAAACATTTCAGAGAAGGGTTTATATTAAAATTAACTGTTCTACATATAAAGTAGGCACAGTAGTATGAGTGCATACTACTGTGCGTTTAAGCTTTTGAAGAGTGGAGAAGCGTGTTGTCTGGCACTGGAATGGGTAATTGTTAACATAACGGCTTTCTGTTGAGTTGTTATTGGCTGTAGGTGATTTGACATTGATCCCCCAGACACAGGGCAATGTGTGGTGTAAATATAATGCAGAGAATTCATAGTTTGGAAGTTAGGAGGAGGTGCGGGATTACCAAAACTGATGTCCAGAGGGCTGAGGAAGGGTTGTTGAGGTGGTTCGGACATGTAGAGAGAATGAAGCGAAGCAGAATGACTTCAAGAGTGTATCAGTCTGTAGTGGAAGGAAGGTGGGGTAGGGGTCGGCCTAGGAAAGGTTGGAGGGCGGGGGTAAAGGAGGTTTTGTGTGCGAGGGGCTTGGACTTCCAGCAGGCATGCGTGAGCATGTTTGATAGGAGTGAATGGAGACAAATGGTTTTTAATACTTGACGTGTTGTTGGAGTGCGAGCACAGTAACATTTATGAAGGGATTCAGGGAAACCGGCAGGCCGGACTTGAGTCTTGGAGATGGGAAGTACAGTGCCTGCACTCTGAAGGAGGGGTGTTAATGTTGCAGTTTAAAAACTGTAGTGTAAAGCACCCTTCTGGCAAGACAGTGATGGAGTGAATGATGGTGAAAGTTTTTCTTTTTCGGGCCACCCTGCCTTGGTGGGAATCGCCCAGTGTGTTAATAAAAAATAAAAAATAATATATCTTGGAGAGGATTCTTACTGCTCATTAAATAGTTGTTCTGGGAAGAAATGTGGTGGAATGAAAGTTAAAATGTCATATTAATCTTCAAGACACCAAATGAGTTATTAATATGGAGTATATAGTGTTGGCTATTGGTGTTTTTGAATGGTTAATCAGAATTGTTCTTAGGTACTAAATTAACTGCTTGCTTAATAGTGTATATTAAAAAAATTACTACTATCCATTGCTTAACCCTCTGACTGTTTTGGTCATATATATACGTCTTACATGCCACTGTTTCGGACATATTTATACGCGTAAATTCTAGCGGCTTCAAATCAAGCAGGAGGAAAGCTGGTAGGCCCACATGTGAGAGAATGGGTGTGTGGTCAGTGTGCACCACATAAAAAAATCCTGCAGCACACAGTGCATATTGAGGAAAAAAAAACTGACCGTTTTTTTGGATTAAAACGCCGAATCTGAGGTGTATTTTCATATAGTATTTATCATCGTATTTTCTTTTTCATGGTCTCACATGATAAAATGGAAAACATGTTACAGAAATAGAGATGATTTTGATTAGTTTCATGATGAAAACGACCTTGAAATTGAGCTCAAAGTAGCGGAAATGTTCAATTTTTACCAATGTTCAGGAGTAAGCAAATCACACCACACGTCCAATACACATCAACTGGGGAGTCTAATATTCTTTCACCAGTGCACTGATATTATTTATACCATTTTTACAATAGTGCAGTAGTCTGCATAACAGTAAATTTTGTATTTTTTGTACGAATAAAAAATTAAAATAGAAAGCAATAGAGAGGGGCCTAGAGACGTGACTAATGAACAGAGGATATGTTATTTTAGTGCCAAGAATGTCTACATTGTTTATTCTGGACCCTATTTTGAAATAGGCATCTTTTTTTAACCCCTTCAGGGTCCAAGGCCCAAATCTGAAGTGGTGCCCCAGTGTCCAAGAATTTAAAAAAAAAAAAAAAAATTATTTTTTCTTATGAAATGGTAGAGAATCTTTTTGTGAAGGTAATAAAACAAAAAGTAAGAAATTTGATGGAAAATTGACGAAATTATGCTCTCGCAAATTTTGATGTGTCAGCGATATTTACGAATCGGCGATTTTGCCGACTTTGACTCCCGTTTTAGGCCAATTACATTATTCTAGTCAACCAAATTCTTAGCTATTTCACTAGTATTACTTCTCTTCTATCGATTGAGCACAAGAAATCGCCAAGTCAACTGTTTCAACTACAAAATAAAGTGATCGGAAATTGGTAATTTGGCCAATTTAACACAAAGTTCAAAATATTCCAATTTAAAAATAGGGTCCAGAATAAACAATGTAGGTATTCCTGGAACTAAACTAACATTTCCTCTGTTCATTAGTTACGTTTTGAGGCTTTACAAATAAATTCCATTTTGATTTTTTATTCACATAATGAATTTTTATTCACACCAAAAAAATAGATTTACTGTTATGCAATACTGTAATAATTGTATAAATATCATCACCATATTTGTGAATGCATATTAGACCCACCAGCTGGCGTGTATTAGACGTGTGAGGTCGTTTGTTTACTCTTGAATATCGGCAAAATTTTAACATTTCTGCTACTTTGAGCTCAGTTTCAAGCCATTTCCAGTGCTAAAACCAATCAAAATCATCTCTATTTCTGTAATATGTCTTCCATTCTATCAAATGAGACCAAGAAATCGCAAATAGAACTATAAAAAACATACGAAAAAACACTGCAAAGTCGCCGTTTTAATCGAAAAATCATGATTTCAGTTTTTTTCTCTCATTATACACAGCGTGCTGCAGGATCTGTTTTATGTGGTGCACACATACCACATAGATGTATTCTCTCATATCTAGGCCCAAATGTACCACTCACAGTTTATCAGAGTGAGCCGAGCTCATGACGTAGATCTACGGTTTGGAC